TTTTTTCTCTAACAATGCCACAACGTATTTATTATAGCATGCACTTTTGGTAGTAATTATTTCTAATATAAAAATTCAGAAAAAGAATTAGGCGTAAAAGATGAAGACGGATATAGATGATGTATCTAGTACTTTTTCTCAAGGAACCGAAATTTCACGGTATTACGAAAGAGAGTGGATAATCACGTTAGTCATATACTACCACATTTTTGGTAAGATTGTTCAAAATTAAAAAGTAAAAAAGCAAAGAACAAAACTAGACTGCGAAACCCATTGAGAGTGACGATGTTCACAGAAACTCTATGAGGTGAAAGAGAAGAGCAAAATTCCTATTTAGTGGAATAATTGAATGAACTTTCAGATTGAACCCTACAGCGATTTATAAGAAAGCTTATTTGAAATAGGGGTGTCAGAGTTTCCGTTCTCGGGACCCGGAACTCATTTCACAATCCATCTTTATACATTCCACAGTACAATGAATTATTCATACAGATTTTCACCGCCTTCTCGCACGAAAATGGTATTTTCAGGAATGGAGGAATTCTCTCATGTGTCAAGTTCCTGAGAATCCGAAAACCCGATGAATTCCGTACTTGGGAATTTTTGAACGTAGTAAAGTTTCGATTAGTATTTTTTCGTATTTTGCGACATAACTTACATTTCTGATTGCTAAGATAATTAATGATATCAAAAATAATTGGATTAATTTTGAAAGATATATAGATAATATCGATATTTAAGAATTTTATTTTATTAATATTAAATCATATATAATTGTCAATGTTCGACGTTCGATTGGCTGAAAAATAAATTATTAATTAAATTTATTAGATGCAAAATAAACACTCTTAAGAGAAAGAGATTGCTTATGTGGAAAGTCGTACAAATTCTAACTGCGTTAGTAATGATTTTTTAATAAGTAGTAATATAAGAAATATCGCACCATGTTTTTCTTATTGTAAATATCTTTTTATTTTTCGAAACTGTTTTTAGAATATCGATAACATTCTAATAGATTCATCTCTATGATTTGAGATTTACTATTATCGCGCATCGATAATTTCAATAAAAAAATGGTATGTATGTTATTATGAAAATTTTCAGTCCTATTAGAATGAGATTGTTTAACGTCAGAATTCTAAATTTAAAGGCGAAGGTCTTCAAAAGGAAACGAGTTAAATAAAAACTTCTCCGAGTCAAGCACGTGCTTTGCTTCCATTATTCATCTGAATTGCTAAAATCGATGTATATTTCTTGAAGGTGAATGGGTGTGGGTGGGTGCGACAGATGGATATAACACCTGCATTTATACCCACACATACACTCTCAAGACTTTCAATGAAACCCGGAAGAATTTCAAGACTCCCCGAATATTCTCGAGGATTTCAGGATTCCGCTCTTTACTCCTTAAAATTCTCAAAATGTTATATATTCCTCATGTCTACTAGTTCATTGTTATTCTAATTTTTTCCGTCATTCCTGCTATTGCTCTTCTAATTCGATGGATTTTTTTCCGTGAACAAGAAGAAATATTTGATCAGAAAGAACAATTTAAAGAAAACTTGAAGAAAAGAATAAAAGAATGTATAAAAAAAAACATCAACTTATATCAAACAAAACAACATATATTAAAAAAATACAAAGAAAACTGTTTTGACAATATTGTTGAAAATTATATCAACCATAAATATATAAAATATTGTTCAAAGAAATTTTTTGATGAATTATCAAGCTTAATTCAAGCTGATAAATTATCAAAATTAATTCGTATTGATGAAGACACTTTAAAAAACTTTATTGAAAAAATTTTAAATATAAAAATAATTAATGACATACGTTCAATATGCCCAAATTCAAAATATTTACAATTAATTCTTGACAATAATGATTTGGTTTTCAAACATGATTCGCATAAAATATTAATTCAATTTAAACAACTAATTTCAAATTATATAACAGATAAATTTTATAACATTAAACAACGAAATAAATTACGAATTGAAACTGAAGATGATTTAAAAACTTTCTTCCAGTATTACGAACTGCATCAATTAGTTAATAAAAAACAACTGTTATCCGCATTAAATATCGAAATAGTTCTAAGTAAAACCTTTGATATTCGTCAATTTGATCAATGTTTTATATTAAAAAATTTATTTCAATCAAACCAGATACCATCGTTTATTACTGAGATTTTTCATAGATTAAAAGAACATTTAAAAAAATTAATCAAATTAAATGATTCATCAACTATTGAATCATTTCTTCAAATTATTAAATATAGTTTAACTCCAATGAAATTTAATACAAGAATTGAAAATCACAAAAATATATTCATTGGAAAAGGTGTTTATGTTGTATTAAGTTCAATCCTAATGGAATTACAAGAAAAATTAAAAGAAACAAATTTGATTGAAGTTTTATTAATCGTATCAGAAATTTTGTTTATTGACTGTGATTTAGAAAATAAAATTTGGCATGGAATTAATATTGGAATTTATGCTAAACAGATCAAAATCATAAAAGAATGTCAATTTAATCTTTCTGGATTAAACGGTCAACCTGAAACAAAACTAGCAAAAGCAGAGAATGGAAAACAAGGTCACTCAGAAGAAGATAAACACGGAAAACATGGAAAAAATGGAGATAAAGGCGAAAGTGGAGGGAATGTAAGAATTATTGCTGATACAATTGAAGATGGAAAATTATTAACAATTCTATCAAATGGTGGAAATGGAGGTTATGGACAAGATGCTGGTGATGGAGCAAATGGTAAAAATGGGGAAGATGGCCATAGTTTAACATTAGATCAATTCAAAACACAATTTCCAACATTCGAATTTAAGATTCCCTGGGCACGACACGACTGTTTGAATCATTATTACATACATCCAACAATCAGACTCCCAAGAACTGTTTGCAGCTTGAATTATCAATCACAAGCTGTCATCTTTGGAGCCAACTATTGTTACCGTGAATATGAATATGAACATGGAAATAAGATGTATTTCTCATTTGAAAATACTTGGATTTCAGACCATATAGCAGCTTATTGTTTATATAAAGGTACATTAGGTCAACCAGGAGAAGCCGGTGGTTTTGGTGGGAAAACTGGATATTCTGGCGAAGCGGGTTTTGCAGGTGACATTAAAATAACTATATATCAGAAATCCCAATCAGATATTCAAATAATTGCTTCCAGTGGAGAACAATATCCTCATGGAGATTCAGGGGATGATGGACATTCAGGAAACTCCGGTCAAAATAAACCTGATCTTGCTTATATGTGGAAAAGTGAATGGCTTAATCCAGTGTATTATGAACCGGGTTGGTTCAAAATAGAACCTCATCCTAGCAAAGCAAGTGATAGAGTCAGAGATGCTAAATATGAAGATTCGGAGAGATATGCTGAAATTGTATCAATTCAAGAACCTGAACCTCTACAAGCGAAAACAATTGATATAAATGAAAAAAGAATATATCATGAAAAACAAAATAAAAAATGTGAAGCTACACGAAAACCTAATATTTCTTCAGAATTATTAGAACAAATGTACAATGAATCACAAATAAATCATCAATTATTGTCAATATCAAGTTTAATACTTGATGTAGATATTATTCAAAACCAATTATCTGAAGATCAAACTAATGGAAAAGAAAATCTTTCGATTGTTAAGCCATTTTTTAATCAAAAATATTTTAAATTAAAAAAGTATCAAACAAAAAATGAATTAAATCCAATTTTAATTTCAAATTCAATCGATGATATATCAAATAGATTTGATTATAATACAGCATTTCTTAATGCTTCCGATTTAGAAAAACAATCTATTAGAAATGATTTAGAATATTATTTATCAATTGAAAAACTAAAATTAGCTTTTTTACAAAAATCAAATGAAAATATGATTAATACTGATAAAAATTATCTTATTGATGAATTAATTAAAGAAAATACATATTCAGATAATTATTCTTTAATTCATTCAGTTTTAGGTACTAAAAATCAATTTGGATTTTATGAATATCCCAATCCAGGACAAATTTCATTACACAACTTAGCTGAATCAAAAGGTATTTGTATTTACGTTCATGAAGAATCAAATGATGATGCGAGAGTATTAAAAATCATAGGCAGATATAATGAAAAATCAAATGAAATTCGTCATATTTTATATGAAAATAATCAATATTATAGATTATCAATACGAAAAATGTTAAATTATGATTATTTGGAAAAAATATTAAACAACATAAATCAATTGAAGAAAACTTCAGATTTTACCAATTCTGTTAAAACAAAAGAACCTTTTCCAATTGAAAATGAAGAAATTTCAATTGATGAAATAGCTAAGCATTTTAATGAGAATTCAAATCAACGTTTACGATCATCATTAATTGTTCTTTCAGAAAATAAATCAATATTAAAATCATTACAAAAACGTTTTCAAATAGAAAAAGTCGAGATTAGTTCAGAAATTCTTCTTTTATTTTCAATTTTTATTTCAAACGAAAATGAAAATTTCTTTCAATATCAATGGGTTATTTCAGTTTATAATCAACGTGAATGGATTGATGAATTATTATTAATCAAACTAGAGCAAATAACAAATAAATCATATGAAATAATTTCATCTTGGAGATCTATTTTACGTAAAATTCAAAATAAACAAATTATTAAATTAATTATTTTAAAACTTTTTGATGAAAATATTCAATATGAAGCAGTAGACTTTGAAAAATTATTTAATCAAATTAAAGATTTACATTTAAATCAACTGGAATTTATTGATATACTAACCAATTTACCATTAAATCAATGGATTATGAAACTAAAACATTTAATATTGATTGAATTAATTAATGAAAATATTCGTGAACTAAAATCTTCTAATCAAACATTAACAGATGAAGAATTTTCATCAATGAATTATTATTTGTATTTTTTATTTAATCAAAATGAAAGTTTAACGATGAAACTATTAAATATTCTTAAGAAAAAATCACTTGAATTTAATAAAATCTTAGATATCATTCATAAGTTTTATTCCGGTCATTATCAATTTGATGAAGAAACAATAAATCAAATAACATCAAATAATTTTACGAATCGTACATCAAATGAAGAAAGAAAATTAAATAAATTACTTCAAATTATGAATCAAGACAAAATAACTTCAATTGATAATGAATTAAAAGATAAAATTACAACTTTTGTTAATAATGTTAATAAGTGTAAAATTGTTAGAATAGGTAAGGAGCAAATATCAATTGAATCTTTAACTGGACAAAATATCGGACAATGGACAGAAGAATTTCGATTAAAATCATTGAAAGATAAAAATCTTTGTTTGCATGAATTATTAGCAGTTATTGAACATGCAATAACCATTGTCTTTTCCGAAATCAAATCACTTCGTGATGCACAAAAATTAACAATTGCATGTTTTATTTATACGAATGAAAATTTATTGTCCCAAGTTTCAACTGGTGAAGGTAAATCATTGATAATTATTTCAATAATGATAATTAAATGTTTATTGGGTGAGAATGGTGATATAATAACAAGTTCACCTGTTTTAGCTAAACGTGATGCAAATGAAAATAAAATTTTATACGAATTATTTTCTATAACAGTCTCACATAATTCATATGAAGATTTAAATGATCGAAGAAAATCTTATGAAAAACAAGTTATTTATGGAGATATTTCAACATTTCAAAGAGATTATTTATTAGATCATTTTTATGGAAAATCAATTTTAGGAAATCGTTATGAAAATGGTCGAACAAATATTATTGTTGATGAAGTTGATTCGATGTTAGTAGATAAAGGAAATTCGGTTCTCTATTTATCACATCAATTACCATATTTAGATACATTAGAATCGGTTTTCATTGCAATATGGCAATTGATTAATTTAAATATTGCAGATGGAAAATATCCATTAGTTAATGAAATCCGAAAAATTATTTCATATAATTTATTTCCAGTTTTAAGTAAAACTGACCTAAATAAAATAACAACAAATCAAAATGAAATTGATGAAATTTGGAAAGAATTAATTGTAAATAATATTATTTTTCATGATGGACATATTTTATCAACAAATGTTCAATTCAATGAAAAAAAATTTCAAAATTTTCAAATTCATATTCAAAATTTATTAAAACAAATTCTTAATAGAGATAAAATAATTCATGTACCAGATTATTTATTACCATTTATTCAACAACATTTAACTGATTGGATTCAAAGTGGAATAAATGCATATCATATGGAAGAAGGACGAAATTATATTGTTGATGTTGATCGAGGAGGAAATAAATACGATTCATATCCAAATATAATCATTATGGATTGTGATACTGGTGTTGATCAAGCAAATACACAATGGAATCAAGCACTACATCAATTTTTACAACTTAAACATCAATGTAAAACATCATTACTTAGTTTAAAAGCTGTTTTTACATCAAATATTAGTTTTTTAAATATGTATCAACATATTTATGGATTAAGTGGAACTTTAGGATCAGAGATAGAAAAAAGATTTTTGAAAGATGCTTATCAAGTTTCATTTGTTACAATACCTGTTGCATTACCGAGTAAATTTAAAGAAGAAAAACCTTTAATTTGTAAAGATTTATGGAAATGGAGACAAACAATTGTTGAAAAAGCTATCGAATTATCAAAAAAACGATCTGTTTTAATCATTTGTGAAACAATTAAAGATGTTGAACAAATTAATCAAACATTTAAATTAGCAAAAACATTTCGTATAAATAATGTGTTCATTTATAAACGAAGTTATGAAGATTTTTCTATAGACAAAAATGGTTTAAATACTGGTAAAATAATAATTGCAACGAATTTAGCAGGTCGAGGAGCTGATATTAAAATAACAGACGAATTAAATAATAATGGAGGTTTACATGTTATATTAACTTATTTACCTGATAATTATCGAATTGAACAACAAGCATTTGGTAGGACAGCACGAAAAGGACAATCTGGTTCCGGACAACTAATATTTATTGATCCTATGAATAATTTATTCAATGATAACAATAAAATTCATCCGTTATTAAACTTCATTGATCTTAAAAATCAACGTGATTATAATGAATTATGTCGTGTGGCTGAAATAGATAATTATTATAAAACATTTATTAAATTTGAAGAAAATTTATTTACAAAATATCGTGAAACTTATAATAAATTGAAACATAAATTAGAAAAAGAATTTGATTTAAAGAAATCAATTGTTGATATAATTCTTAATTCTCTTTTGAATAAATGGGCATTTTGGTTAGATGAAATCTCATCAATAATTAATGATAAAAAACAAATTATTCAATCATTAGAAACATTCATTTCTCGAATAGATCAAATCAAAAACTTAGAATCTGCAATAGATATAATAGTTACTGAACCAACTCAATTGATTAAAATAGCGAAAGTATTTATTGAAATTGAAAAGTATGATAACGCTTTAAAAATTCTAGATAAAGTTATTAAAAATGAACCAAAATTTTGTCAAGCAGCATATTATTATAAAGCTCATTGTATTGTTAAACAAACACGTTTAGTATCACCTGAAAATATAAAAAATTATTTTACATCATTAGATAAAGCTGAATTATTATTTAATGAACATATTGATATATTAACTCAACAAAATGCAATTATGGGTAGCTTAAAACAAATGGAAAAACCAAAATCATTTAATTTAGTAAATTCTTATCAAATACAAAATGGAAATCTTATTAATTTATATTCAAACTTTATTCGATCTATTCACAAAATCCGAGGTTATGAAGTTACACCAGATACTTTATTAAGTACCAATATTAATGAAGAAAATTCGTCAATTATTTATGATAAATTACTTAACTCTCCAAATAATCTTTTTATTAAAAAACATTTAAATGAAAATTTTGATGAAAGTTTATTGAAAATAATTTGTATTGATTATCAAATAAATTATGAACAAATGAAAAGATATTTAAAAAATACAAATCCAATTGATGAGCAAGCAATAAAAAGTTTTCTTCGGGAGATTCAAATTCCAACTCGAGACCTTTTTTGGGAATTATTAGTTCAAAAGAATATTATAAAAGATGTTAAATCATTTATTGTTATTGTTAAGAAAAAAGAAGAAGAAAATCAATCAGAACATTTCAAGCAATTCATTTCTTCTCTTAAACAACCATTGAAAGATATTCAAAAGTTAAATATAAATGATAAATCAAAAATTTTTTTCAAGAAAATTAGTTTTAAAGAAAATGATTTAAGATTTGTTTATGAAGCACCTAAGAAAAAATATGAAGTTTTTGAAAACAAATATTTTATTAAAAATAAAATTGGAAAATTCGATGTAGAACAGTTAGAAAATATTAAATCAATTGGAATATATGAATCAATTAAATCTATAGATTTTCTACAAATTGAAAATTTAACTGAAAAACATTCTCAAGATATTTATAATATTCTTATTCAAAATAAGATTATTGATAAACAGACAGGTATACTTCTAACAAACAAGTTTGAAAATATTCAATTTGGATTATATCAAATTTATCAATCACAAATATTTTCAATAATTAAATGTCAATGTTTATATAAATATCAAATATTAGAAATTCTCGATGAAATTTCTTCGAAAGATTTTCAAAATCTTAATTTAACTTTACCAATTGATTTACATAAAAATCTTTTATATGTTTTACAAACATCATTAATTATCGAACCAGTGCGAGTCAATTTTGAACCTGTTAAGCCGACTATAATTGATAAATTTTTTCTGAACAATTGTTCGGATAAAATAGCGGAATTAGTTCAGAATGATATTCATCTTGAAAATAAAGAAGAAATAAGTCGAAGTATTGGACAATGTTTAGCTCAAACAATAGGAACATTAAAATCTTCATCAAAACTAGATTCTTATTTAAAAAATATTCAAAGAGAATTTGATAGAAATCAATTATTTGAATATAATCAAGAAATTGAAAGATTTCAAATCAATTGTTTAGACCAATTAATTGATATTCAAGAAATGAAATGGACTTGGCAAATGTGGGTTGGAACAGTAGTTGTTTTTCTATTTGGATTTGGACAGATTATTGCTGGTTGTGTTCTAGAATTATATTCAGTTGGAATTGGTACTTATACTGCAATGGGGATAATTTCTGAAGGAATTAACGATATGATTTATGCAATATCAGCTGCTAAAAGTGGTCATTTTGGTTGGTCTGATTATTTTGTACATAAAGCCCATAGTATTTTGATAACAATAGCAACTGCAAGTGTAGCTGGATTGATTTCAAAAGGTATTTCATGGTCTCGTTATGGCAGTAAATTAGTTGGAAATACAGGAGCATTATCGAAAGTTGCTGGAAGTGAATTATTAAATATAGCAGGCAAATCTAGTATGCCAGGTGTTACAAATCATGTTATAAAACAAGTTGTCGTTAATACTGGTTTGAAAATCGGTGAAGGAATACTATATGGTTCTACTCGTGCAACAATATCATATTTATCGGATAAATATCTTCGGGATTGTTGCGGTAAAATTCTTAGTGAATTAGTTCTTGGTATAAAAAATTCATTTAAAGAAAAGAGAGATGAAATTAAAAATTCTTTAAAAGAACTTTGTCGAAAATTTGGACAAAATTTAACAGAAAAATGGTTAAATGAATTAGCTCAAAATATTGATAGAGATCAATGGTATGGAAAAGTTTCTCAATGGATCTTAACTGGCGTGAATACAGTTACATCAGGAATAAATCAGGGTTTAAATAAAATTGCCAGCGCCCAAGTATTAAGTAGCAATGCAAAAACTGCATTAGAAATTATGGCTACTTTTAATGAAATATGGGCATATAGTTCATACGTTAATGCAATGCTTAAGATCGTAATTGAAACAAAATCTTTTATTGGGAGTATTGTGAAAAAAATACAAGAAAAAGCTCAAGAATCTTCAAATCAATCACAGAATTATGAGATTGAAGAAGAAAAATTAAATAAATTTACTAATAAATTAATTGAACATTGGACTAAATTATTAGAAGATAAAATAGATAGTGATGCCAGAACTAAAATTATTGAACCATTTTTAGGTGCATGTGCTCAGAAGCTTTTGAGAAATATTGGAAAAGCTATACGAAATTATCATTTACGTCGACAAGAAAATTTACTTTGGAATAAACTTCAAGAGACTAAAGCAAAATACGAAGAAGAAAAAAATGATATATTAAAAACTCAAGAGCAACTTACGAATAACGATCAGACTTTTGATACACTTCAAAAGAAGTATGATCAAAATTTATTAATTATTTTATCAAAAACAAAAAATCCAAAGTTATTTGCTGCGATTATTCGAGCAGGTGCTCCAATGGATATGACTTGTATTTATGCATGTGCCAATATATTAAAGAAACCAATAAAAATTGTCAATTCTGATGGAATAACCTTTCCTAGTTTAATTTGTCCATCTAGTTGTAATCCAGTTGATGTACAAGATTCCGATTGTCTTTTGCTTACTCTCCATCCTGGTGATGGAATCGATTCATTTGGTCATTTTACTTCACCCTTACATGCCGGTGAAAATTTGTCTAATGATGATAAAAATAATTGTCTAATTAATGCACTTTCGCAACAACTACCAGAGAATGAAAAACCAAATAATGCGGAGGATTTTCGAAAAAAAATAGCAAATGAAATCGAAGGAAATGCAGATATTCATGAAATTATTAAACAAAGTTATCATCATTTTTATATATCACAAGTAGGTTTTGGTGGTCAACATCGTGATCAAAAAACAATTATTTTTAAAAAGACTCAATTTGACAAAGAATTTGCAAATAAATATTTTATTGGTTCTGTTGGTCAACATAGAAATATAACGGATTTATCAAGAGAAGGACAGAGAGAATCAGAACATCTCGTTCCAGACAAAATAATGCAACTTTGGTGTAAAATTAGTTGTATTAGAAAGATTATCAAGGAACAATATCCTGAATTAAAAGTGGAAACACCCGAATATAAAATAAAATTCGACGATTTAATGAAATCAGATTTACCAGAGATTCAAAATGCTATAACACATACGGATGATATGTTTACAATTTGTATGAATTATGAAGATCATCATAACATAGAAACAAATTGGAGCAGTTTCAAAGCGAAAAAACCTGAACAGTGGGCAAAAGCAGAAGACTTTGTTTATAATAATCAAAATGACAAAGTATTAGAATTGTGTATTCAACAATATAAACATCTATTAGATAATGAAAACAATTTTCCGAGATTTAAGCAAGGATTGTCAACGTATATATATCTTCTTGTTACAAAGAATAATTTCATCAATATGAATCAGGCGTCTCAGTTACAACAAAAATTTAATTTGCCAGATATTAAAATGCATGATCAAACGGTTCAATTTCCAAGTCATATACAAAATTCAGACATAATCAGCGATGTTCATCAAAGAAGTATATCATTGGAACCGTCGACAAATTCAAGAAAACGATATAAAACAAACTAATTTTCAGCATTTTTTCCCCTTATGTAGTTTATAATCATTAAGTTTTTCCGTTTTTTAACCGTTCATTGATTTAGTTACACTATTGGACAGGATATTTTAATGAGCCAAAATATAAAATATGTGAGAAGTGCATATATTTTGAAGTCAAATTAGATGAAATTATTTCTAATTGAACTAAAGTAGTCTTTATTTCGATGCGATTCACAAGACGAACAATAAATGCATCATGTCTAAAGGAAAAAATTGCTACGTACAACTCGTAATTTGAGTCACTTGCTATCAATTTCAAGTCATGGAAAAAATTCTGAACTAAATGGGAAAGAAAGTTGATGATGACATTGATTCCATCGAAATTCAATTCTAGTCCTGCTTCAAATAAATGCGGAAACTTTGAATTTTATCAGAGAGCTATATGTACTACAAAAAGTTTATAAGAGAGATGAGCTATTCTAGAATGTTTGGACATCGAAATTATCATAAGAATTTTTTTCGATGAGCACGATTGAGGGTGTGGGTGCCGGCTGATGGGTTTCAGTGTCTTTTCTTTATCGACTCCCACACTCTCAACACCCTCAACACTCTCAAGAATTAATGCATATTCAACAATCCGGTATCAATATAATTTGAGACAGTTTGTTGATAATAGCCACTTTTTTTTAAATAAAATAAAGATAATTTTTTTTTGTTACTGCTCAGTTCTTATCTTCAAAAGCTTGTAATAGACAAAGAGAAAAAAAATAATAACCCTGACTTACACTTTTTTTTATTTTTTTTTTCGCCAAAGATTGTTGTTAAAAGTGTCAAATGAAATCGGACACAGATGAAACTGTACTTATTGTACCAGCACAATCAACAACACCAGCATATGTATTATATCCACATCGATTTTATGTCCTGTTTGCTTTTTCATTTCTTTCTTTTAATCAATGTCTTATATGGTTAACATTTTCACCAATTGCAAGAAGTACACAAATTTATTATGGTATTAGTGAATCTACTGTTGATCTTCTTTTGAATTGGGGACCAATTATATTCATTCCATGTTTACCATTAACTTATATATTGTTAAATAAACATCATGGAATTCGTCGTTGTGTTATATTACTTGCAATTGTTGATTTTTTGGCAGCAGTTATTCGTATCATACCTCAAGTTATAACAGATCCATCAAGTCCACATTTTAGTTCAATTGCTTTACCATTCTTACATGCTGGTCAGATATTAAATGCTGCTTGTGGTCCATTAGTAATGGTACCTGTTTCACAGTTATCTTGTCTTTGGTTTGCACCACATGAACGAACACGTGCAACAACAATTGCTGTATTTGCTAATAATTTTGGTTTAACTGTTGGTTTTGTAATTAGTCCATATATTGTTTCTTCATCTGATCGTGTTCCTTATCTGCTCTATGTTCATTTAGCTTTTGCATTTGTAGCTTGTGTTCTTGCTCTTCTGTATTTTCCTGCACAACCACCAAGTCCTCCATCAGCAGCAGCTGAACTACTTATTGTGAATCCAACTGGTGAACAAAATGGAAATGCATGGAAAACATTCGGAAAAGATATTTGGAAATGTTTAACAAATCCATCATTTGTATTAATTACAACAGCCGGTGGTCTTATTGTAGGTACACTTGATGCATGGACAAGCCTGTACGATATTATCCTTGAACCAGAACATTATAGTGAAAAACAAGCAGGTAAACAGTTACATAATGTTAATAAATAGAATGTAGGTTTTGCTTTTAGGATGGTTTGGTTTTGGTTCATCAATAGCTGGCATAGTTGGTGGTTTAGCATTAAGTTTTCTAGCTGATACACGTCGTTTTCAGCATTCATTAAAAATTCTGATTGTAATTACAATGGTTGCTTGCTTGTTATCAGTTTCATGGTTTGAATTATCTGTTCATACCTTCTTTTATGATAAACCAATTCTACCATCAACTGCTGTGACGATTGGTTTATCAACTGCGTTAATTGGTTTATTTTATGGTGCTTCACAACCATTAGTATATGAAGCTATTGCTGAAATTATGTTTCCTTTACCAGAATCTTTATCAGCCTCAATTCTTGTTCAATTCAATAATATTGTTACGCTTGTTCTTCTGTTTATTGCACCTGGTCGAGATAAACTAATGAATCTCCTCGCATTGATTATTACATTTACTTGTATTATAATGGTAGTGTTGGCACGATTCTCTTATAGAAGACGAGATGAAGATGAACGAAAACGACTCGAAAAAGAACAAGATCAGATCTTGAATCAAAATAATTTGAATGCATCGAGAAATGGTATTCTTAGTGAACCAGCATATGGAACATTTTCTTAAATATATGTATAACTTGCAATTAGTATTTTTATGTTCGTCAAATGAATAATATCAATTGATCTGTTTATGTGAATTTGATGAAGTAGCATCATCTACAAAAAGCATTACTTTGTTTTTAAATACAATTCTATTCTGACAATCTTTTTTCTAAACAAAAAAAGTTTCTTAAGTATTTTCTATTAGCTTTTTATGCTAATCTGTTAATATCAGCATTCAAGAGATAAATACGAAGATTTCAATTTTTTTTATATAACTAATATCAACTAATCGATATACATAGCTTTAATAAAATAGAATAAGTTAAAATACATTAAAATTCAGATTAGATCGACTTTATGATGTCTTAAATAAAAAATAATTTCATTTAATTCAATTTTTATAACAAACATATTTTAGTTTGTCTGCAAAAAGTAAAAAAGAAGAAATGTTTTTTATTATCTCAGATTAAGAAGAGGTACGTAATGATTCGGTGTCCAATTTTCTTTTTTTGTTCCAATATGAGTTGGTCTATTGCAATGTGAAAAAAGTATTCTCACAACTTTAATTGGTACTATTGTCATAGGTATAATTGGTTGATTCTTATTTGTAGTATCTTTATGTACTAATGGTTCATATAATTTACCATTAAGTAGTTGATAATTTAGATCAGAATCACCATTTACTTTTGGATAAACACTTGTAATATTAATATTAAGTACAGTTGGTATACTAAGAAGATCCCAAACAGTAACATAGGTTGTATCATGTACCATTTCTTCAACAACATATTTTTCAAAACTATCAAGTATAGGTTCTAAAGCTTTATATTTTTTTGTATATTCATCTTTATTAAGAATAAGTTCAACAGCATTTCGACCTCGAAGTTCAACAGGTGTAAATGAAGATGCTTCATTTGTTGCACCTACTCCACCTAATTTAACAAATGTATTATAAAAACAATTACCATCACCAACAATAGCTACTGGCATTGCATTACGAAATTTTCTATCACAATGACTTTGTAAATAATGTTCAGCAACTGTATCACGTGTATGAATACCTTGATCAAATGTTTGAGCTGGTGTATATACGAGTGGATAAGATAGTAATATTGGTTTTAATATTAAACATTCTTTGTGAAGATCATCATATGATTTATCAGCAGCACTACGTAATCGTTGTAAGAATTTATTAAATACTTCTGAACGTGTTAAATTCGAACAAACATCACAGAAAAGTTGACGATCAACTGGTAATGTTCGTTCTTTACAAAGAACACAAATACGAACTGAACTTGGTCGTGGTATAGGTGGTGGTGATCGTGATTGATATCGATCTCTATCATCTATAACATTTGCTTCTCGATTGACTTTTTGTGAATATTCAGTCCATTCATGAACAAAAGCATCAAATACAGGACGATCAAATAAAACAAATCGAACATCTTTAACATGATATGAATATTGTCTGACTGATTCAATACCAACTTTTGCTGCTTCATTTGCAGGAAATTTAAATGCACCACATGATATAGCTGGATAAGCAATCGAAGATAATGTATAAAGATTAGCTAATGCTAATGATGTATAATAACATGATTGTAAATGAAAAGCAGCTTGTTCACGTTCATCATCTCTATAATGTGGTCCAACTGTATTTATAACATAATGAGCAATATTTTCTTCTCGATTAAATTTTGCAATAAATATACGTGATTGTCCAACAGGACATGCATTATCACCAAATTTGTTCTTAATTGCTACGACTTGATCAGTAAAATATTGACCCATAGTTTTATGAATTATACTATCAAGTCCTCCATTATGAGTCATTGACTTGTTAGTTGGATTAACAATAGCATCACATGCTTCTTTACTTAAATCGCCTTGTCTAATAGTTACCTTCAATGAACCATTAGCAAATTTAAAAACAGCAGTGTCATCATCAACCTTGTCGATAATACTAAATAAAAAAATTTCGTTAATAATTAAATTTTATATATATGTATATATACTTACACGCCAGACATTTTTAGAACTGTATTTTGTAGAGGAAAAAAAAGAAATATTTTACCACTTCCGAATACAGCTACTCTCCAATTTTTTTCTCTAACTGTTATTTACAACGTTGTCAATCCTTGTTTTTTTCTTCTTTTCTTCATCAATTGCCACGTGCTTTACGTTTTTTCTACCACTATATGCTTAACGTGTATATAACGTCTACTCAACTGATCCGAGAATAAAAAAAACATAACATAATATTCTTTAGATTTATTTATTATTATTATTTTTTTTCTTCAAAAAGAACACTAAACAAATACGATTATATTATAATTTCTAACAAAGTGTAGCTACAGATTCGTGATAATAACGATGAAATTCAAACTCCACATCAATACGAAAAATTGCTATGAGAATACAACAAACAAATATACAACATGTACCCATAACAAATAACCAAAATGAATAACCACAATTAAGAATATGTTGAAGATGTTCAAAACCAAAAAATAAGGTTAATGTAATCATTGCCAAGATAGCTTTCAAAAAAGAAAAAGAATTTCATATATACAAACAATATAACTTACATACCAGTTAATATATTAGTAATTAATAAACAATCAATGATACGTTTAGAAAAATGAATTTTATAAAAAGGTATTTTAATATTAATCAATTGAGTAAGAAGTAAAGAGATCACAGCGATGCATATACAGCTAAATGATATACCAATTAAGATTTTTTGATAATCTATTATAAAAGTAAAATAATTCATAATGGATCATATATAAAATTTCTTTTGTAAACTTAACTTTTGTACATATGAAAAAAAGCTTATCAACGCAACCCCGTTGGGCTAGAAATGTGGAACTCACGTATGTTCGCATCAAAATATCTGATCACGTTTAAGTGCTCTGCTTTCTTTTTTTGCTCTAGTTTAATTAATTTATAGCTATTTTTCACAGTTTTTGGTTATTTATATTAAATTTGCGGCAGTATATAGCTATTTTTAGCGATTTGTCGTTATTTTCATAAAAATTCCCGCAATTTGTAGCTATTTTTAATGATTTTTGCTTATTTTTATTCAACTGGGAGGGGAGCTGGAAAACTTGAACTTAAAACTTACACTCACGACTGTCTTCGAAAATTTACGTGAGTTCTACAAAATAGTTTCTTTTAACAAATATATAGATCTAGTTATTATACCTGGTAAGTCATATCCATTTCTTGATGTATTATGCCATTTATATAGATAATTAAAACATATATATGCATTATCATTGATATGAATGTTATTGTATGTTGCATTGTCATTATTATGCTGATAGAATCGTCGACAATTCTCTATAATTCCATGTGAATATTCACTAATAATACCATTTGTATTTTCATTAATATATACAAGCCATCTTGGTGTACTGATACCGAATATCAGAAGTACAATTGAAATAAGTAATAATATGAAATGAAATAATAATATACAATTCATAATGCTAGTTCTTCTACTCTATAATCGTTTGTTGTTCAACTAATCTTAATATTCAGTAAAACAAAAGTGAACATTTGTGATAAGAACAGACAAATAGTCTGAGTGTTTAGACAACACAACGGATAAACTATATACTCCAGTTGAAGTGTATGTAATTCAAAGCTTTTCTCTTTTTTAAGTAGATAAAGTGTATATGTATACCATTATAATAAAAGCTCTATTCATATTTTGTCTCTGTGTCTTTCATTATAAATTATTCTTAAAAGAAGAAGAAAAAAAATAATCAATTCTTTAATTGACAAAAATATATTTTATTTAATCAAAATATGACAAACACTTAAAAATATAGAAGTATTAAGCTTGACAATAAAATTTAGTTTCAACGAACGCATACTTATTAATAGAAATAATGATTTCATCATTTATTTATCATAAATTGACAATTCAATACATATGCTTCAATTCAAATCAAATTCATATGAAAACTACAAATGTCGGACTTATAGGTAAGCTGATGTGTATGATAAAGACATACGCTTGTAAAACTTTTATTTCGATACATATCTACATTCATAAATAATTATCCATTAAAGCTTATTTCCGATTTGATGATCGAGAATGTCATTTACATAATTCTATTTTATATATATATATTCATTCTCGGCAATTATTGTTTTTATTGCTCATAGTCTGTTGTATGAAAGTGTTGCTAAAAATAGACAACATGTAAAAAGAATGTGTACGCATTGATCTATTTCTTATTAACTTAAGTACTAATAAGTAAATTGACAGTTCTACGCACATGTTAACTATGAAATGAATGTCAGGTAAAAATATAATATAAATTAACACCTGTGTCTTTGATTAAAAACATATACTGCGTTTTTAATAAACAATAAGTATGTCAGAGAAATTCTTCGTTTATATTTTCATCAGTTTTATTTCAAATGATAAAATAAAGAACAAATATGAGAAGATACACGGAATGAGATAGTTGATTTGTATCTGTTTAGTATTATAAAATATATGAGATATCACCTCCACAATAAAAATAAATAAAATCACGGAAACATATCTAAAAACAAAATGCTATTGATTTGTTATTGATGTTTTTTCAAATCTATTGCACGTGCTCCATCACTTGGTACAAATTGATAGAAACTTGCTGTAGCCTTATAACCTTTTTTAATTGTTTCAATACATTTATCAACCGAGGATTTCGCTACTAAGGTGACTGTACAACCACCTAAAGAAAAACAAAAGAACATTTAATCATAGAATTTCTTAAAATAATCTACCAAATCCACCACCGGTCATTCGCGAACCGTATACACCATCAACAGAACGTGCTAATGAAACAAGTTGATCTAATTCTTCACATGATACTTCAAAATCATCACGAAGAGATTCATGGCTTTCATACATAAGACGACCAAATTCAGTATAATCATTATTACTTAATGCTTTCGCACCAGCTTCCGTTCGTTTAATCTCTGTTATAGCATGATGTGCACGCTTATAAATTACTGGTGACATTTTATCACGGACATTTTCAAGTTCTTTAATTGATGTTACTTCACGTAATTTCTTATGACCTAGAATCAATTAAAAAAAAATAATATAAAGAGAAAATAAAATTTAACTAAAATCTTACCTAAAATATCAGCTGCTTCTTGACAATGTCGAACACGTTCAGCATATGTTCCAGCAACTAATTCATGTTTTACATTTGAATTTGTTACTAAAACGCATACTTCCTTATTTGTCATTGGAATCGATTTCGATGTATTATCTCGACAATCAATTAATAAAGCATGATTAGCTTCAGCCATACATGCTGTATATTGATCCATAATACCACATGGTACATTTGCATATACTTGTTCAGCTTTACAGCATAATAAAGCTTTGTCAACTTTCGATAATTGTTGACCATTTGTTAAAGATTTTTTATAAAGTAATTCAAGAAATGTGCACATTGCTACTTCAATTGATGCTGATGAACTAAGACCACCACCGATAGGTACTGTTGTTGCAATTAATATACGAAATGGTTGTTTTTTAGTTGGTTTCATACGTTCCAAGAAAAGAGCAAGTACACCAACAACATAATTAGCCCATTTTGGTGATTTTAATGGTGAGATTTCTTTTGTTAAATCAATTTCAATTGATTTTGGTTCACCAACATCCTCTATTAACATAAGAAAAGAATATTAATATATAGAATAAATTCATATTTACTTGATAATGTTCGAATATAACATGTATTAGTTATCGAATCATCTAATGCTTTTCCAATAATCATTGTACCAAGTGGTATAGCCATAGGAAAAACAAATCCATCAACATAATCTACATGTTCACCAATTAGATTAACTCGACCAGGTGCAAATGCACATATAGTTGGTTCATCATTAGGAAATTCTTCTTGATAAGATTCAAGAAGATTTGTTTGAAGTTGTTCAAGTGTTGTTAATTCTTCTGATACCATACTGCACCTCTAAAATCGATCGATTAACCGCACGAAAAAAAATATATATTAGTACTATATAGCCCCAAGGTTTACAGTTTTATTGGTTTGATATAAAGACCAATAGGAGATATTCTTTTTATTATAAAGTATAGAAATAATTTTTCTTTCTCTGTAATTATTCTTCAAACAAAATAATTTCGATGGCAACAAGTTCTACTTCGTCAAATACGCCAAAAAAAACAGTAAAAGATTTTAATTTTATAAAAGAAATTGGCGACGGGTCATATTCAAAAGTAAGATGAATAATATATATATATATATATACATATTATCGAATTTTTCTTATATTATTTAGGTCTGGCTAGTTATTGAAATTGCAACAAATCGTGAATTAGCATGTAGATATATACATTCTCTAACAAAAAAAAAATATGATTCAAAATTCTATTTTATATTTAGTAAAAGAAGTTCGGAAAGACTTAATAACAAAATTGAAAAAAGCTCCACAAGTCTTGAGAGAACGAAATATCTTGGCTCAACTTAATGATTGTTCTTATACAATCAAACTTCATTGTACATTTCAAAATGAAGAAAATCTTTGTAAGTATTTGTTTATTAGTCATAACAATTCTTTAGCAGACCATATTACAAGAGTTTCACTTCTTCTTACAATCTTCTGCTCGACATTTAATATTATCTATCATTATTAATCTTTATATTTATTGTTCTTAGATTTTGGTCTAACATATTGTTCGAATGGTGATCTTCTTCAATATATTACTGATGCAGGTCATTTTGAAATTGATATTGTACGATTTTATTCTGCTGAATTAATTGAAGCACTTGAACAGTTACATATTCATCGTATAATTCATCGAGATTTGAAAGTAATTGATAATCATCCTTTTTTTCTTTTACTATTTTAATCTTCAATTTTATTAAAGCCTGAAAATATTCTTTTAACTGATGATATGCATATCCAATTGGCAGACTTCGGTTCGGCTGTTATTATTGATAATAATGAAATCTCTCATGTAAATAATAATGAAGAGAAAAAATCAGTAGAACGAAGAAATTCATTTGTTGGTACAGCACAATTTGTAGCACCAGAAATTCTTCGATGTGGTCCAATTCATATTGGGTTTGTTGAAATTTAAAATATATATTCTTATATAAGAAATTTATTTTTTCAAGATCTGATTTTTGGTCACTTGGTTGTATTATTTATCAAATGGTAACTGGTAAACATTTATTTCATGGATAGTATGTAATTTATTTTTCATTCATAATAAATAGAAAATAACGAACTATTTGAATTAGTTTAGTCATGAATATGATATTATGAATGCTGTTGCTCGTGCTGCTTATAAATTACCTGATGATTTTCCAGATGTAATTGGTGATCTTATACATAAGCTTATTGTAGATATCTATTTTTTTAGAATATAAATTCATTTATTATGATTTGATTTTATATTTAGCGTCTACAACCAAGTGAACGACTTGGTACGGAAGAAGCCGGTGGAATAGAAAAACTTAAAGAACATCCATTTTTCTGTGATACAAAATGGGGAGATTTATTAAATCAAAAATCACCACTTGAAGCAAATGTGAAACTTTGTTCTAGGCCGATCAACACTAATGATGATATGAAGACTAAAAACCCAGAGAATTAAGTGGTTTATCCGATTATATTTTAAGGAATGAATATTAAACAAGAGCAACTCAATAAAAAAAACTTGATACAATTATTAATTTTTATTTGTGATTCTCACTTTTCTGTGTATTTTTGTTAAACTAGTTCCAATACTAGAAGAATATTGTGCTATATATATATTCCGGATGGTTTTCATATTGAAGGACTTTTTGTTTCTTATATATTTTTTACTAAAAAATTAATAGAAATAAAGTATTCAACTGATGTTATAATCCTATATCTAATATTTCTATCAAAATATCGGAAGACATATAAGTGACATCTATTAAAATGCTATACATAATTTATTCGAAGAAAAAATTTTCAAATTAAATCCCACTGTTCTTTATTCCCTAAATTTCTAATCAATGGAATTTGTCAAAAAAAGTAATTTTCTATTGGTTTATTTCCAATCACTTTGTTATACAATGAATTATTAACAGCTTTGATTCAATTCAATCAATAATTGCATTGTATTGTACAACGATATGCCTTCTACAACTCGTACAATAATTAATTCGTCAGATAAATCAGATTTCTATTCGATGCGTTTTGCACCGGTGCCATATATTCGTATGCTATCAAAGAAATTTTATCTTTTTTTTATTTCTTTTATTTAATAATAGCAACAAATTATAATGAGAATTTCCCGTATAAGAAAAGTGTTGAAGATGTATCACAAGAAACACGTTATATATTAGAAGAATTTATTATTGAACGAGCAATTGAAGATGGTGTTGATATGGGTTTAATTAAACCTATTATTGATGTTGATCTTGCTGCACGTATGTTCTTTATTTCAATAAAAAAATATTAATTGTTTAATATCATATTTTTGTCTAGTTCCACAATATCGACAAATTCAACAAATTGCTCAACGATTACGTATGATTGGTGATGAATTAGACGCTGATCAACGTATTAAAAGGTATATAAAATCTTCATAAATCATATCTTTCTTATTATAAAATCTCTTTTCAGTATAATAGATTAATAAGTAAGTTCTTTGCTTGTTGCTTTGTGAATACCTCTTAATCTTATTGCTCTATAATTATAAAAAAATAGAAACTAATTAATTATTTCTTCTTTATTTATTATTAGTATGGTTGATCAAGTACCTGATGATAGTCCATATGAAACATTTAGTAATGTTGCTAAAGAATTATTTTGTGATGGAATTTATAATTGGGGTAGAATTGTAACACTTTTTTATTTTACTTATAAATTAATTATGAAAGTATGTTGAACAAATGAAATTTTTTCTTTTATTTATATTTATAATTTTAGTCAGTTAAAGATCAAACATCATCAATTTTCAACGTTCTAGTTGAATGGACTGTACGATTTGTAAAAGAAATTGTTGCTCCATGGATTGTTGGCAAAGGTGGTTGGGTAAGTTTTATTTAGTATTTATATCAAAAAATTATTTATTTATTTGAAAACTAGTTGGTCATCTTACGTGATGTTGTACCTCAAACACGTTTAACAACAATTGGCGCTTTTCTCAGTGGAATAGCAGCAACATTTATGGTATTCTATTATTTTCGGCGTAATTAATATATATATATATGTTTGATAAAAGCAACAGAAATAATGAATAGTTGTTATGTAACACTATTCTATTCAGATTTTATATATTTTGGTCTTTTTTTTGTATTGATTATGATATGTATATAAAAATAAATAGTCAATGAATTTCTGTTAATACAAAAAAAATATCTAGATTATTCAACTGAAAAGTGAATCAAAACATGAGATTTAATATAAATTTAAATAGAAGAAATAAATGTAGGGTGGGTGTTGGTGTGAGTGTCTCAGTATCTCTATACTTGCACCCACTACCACACCCACACCCACTTGTTCATCCGTATCTGAACTTTTTCTGTTGAATTAATAACTGAATTCGCACAACTTTTTTCTTGTTGGTATTGATGATGATTCACTATGATTGTCACTAATTATAGCATTATTGTCACCATCACCTGATATGCAATTGTAATCAATTTTTTTAATTTCTTTTTCTGATACTTCAACAAGTATTAACAAAAGATATGAGTTTTCAACATGATGTGGATTATTTTTTATTGATGTTTGTGGTGTAAGTAGTTTTCTATCTAAGTATGGTCTTGGTTTTTGGATGGCCTCTTGAGTTTGTTGTTACTGGTGGTGTAGTATCCAGGTCGAGCAATCCGGCACGGAAACGGCCGGTTCTGTGATATTCCAGAGATTTCATGAAAGCAGTATTCCAGTTGAACGGATTCGGTGACCGGATTTATCTGGTTTGGGCCGGAACCGACAGGAAAATGTTAAATACGAAATCTGAATTAAAATATTCAATTTTTCAAAGGTGAGTGTGTGGTTTCTATATCCGTCACACCCACACCCACCCTCTACAATATCTGAATTCCAATTTCGTATTTGATACTAATGTCGAGATGACCTGATATAATTTTTGTTTTGAAAAAGTATTTGAATAGGAATTACTGTTTATTTTAAGTTCTTTGTTTAAATTGTATTTATCAAAAGTATTTAAAATGTTAAATGATTAGTTATAGTTTTCGACAGTTCTACATTACAAAAAAAATTAGTTTATTTAAATTATTAATATTTTTTTAAAAGCATATCTTTATCTATTAGTTAATCGCGATATGCAGTTGTCCTAGTTGTAACAATATGATTTGTAGGTGTATAAACTGATCTATGTATCGGTTGTTGAAATGAATCATTTCTATCGTAACTGACAATACGTGTACGTCGATTTTCTCGTCCATCATCTTCATCATAATCTCTTGATGATCTGTAAGATGGATAATAAAGACTTTCAGCTGAACGTTCTCGTCGTACTGGACTCGATGTTTGACGATCATCACGATGATGACTTATATGTTCATGTCGTCGATGATGACGTGAATGATTGCTCGGTACTGGTGATTGAATACGACGAATTTCACCAATTGTTCTATCTGATACGACTGTTGGTGTTAATTCTGATGAATAAATTTTTCCATCATTATAATACATTCCTGGTTGAAGTGCAACTTGTATTCGTAATTCACCATTTTCAAAATATGATACAATTTTCGATAGATCAGCTGTATTTGGTAATGGAATTTTACGTGTAAATTTTTTTGATACATGTTCTTGATTAGGATCGGATGATGTTCCTTGTTTAGTTTTACCTTGTACAATTAAATCTCGACCTTGAACAAATACATCAAGTTCATCAGGTGTATAATCATGACAATCGACACGATATTCAATTTTTTGATTATCTTTTGAATAGATTTTAGTATATTGTTTATCATCATGTACTCTTCGAGAAACATCTGCAGATGTTGTTAATACAGTAGGTGACTGAATAGAATTCGTATATGTATTTCTTGTATTTTTATATGATGAAGATAGACGTGGCATTTCAATAATTAAACGATTTGTCCATCGTTCAATATGAGATTGTAAATTATCAACATCAGCATCTGGTGGTATTGTAAAAGTTTGAAGAACTACATTATCTTTATTTTTTGATAATAGATAATCATATTTAAATGTATGTCGACGACGTGCAGCAACAATTAGACGACCACGTTGTGATTTATCAATTGTATAGTCACATTTTTTTGGACCAAATGGACATTCAACAACAATACGTAGTAATGGTAATAATGACGTAGGTATTATATTCGTTGTTGGCACTGATGATTGCCAACCTGATGCACGTATATTATCCGATTGTTGTCGTGAAGTATAATATGCATTATTCACATCCGAATAGTATCGATTCATAAGTAAAAAAGAAATACTTATACTTCGAAATATCAAAAAAAAAAAAAGAATGATATAGCAATTTTGATAGGTCCACCTACACTCATTTAGAATACATTGAAAATGCTATTATACAACGATTTGGATTCTCATATAAATATATTACTATTATTTTATAATTTAATGTACATGTCAACATAATTTTCTTGCGGTATAGTTTGATATCCTTTCGTTTTTCTTTTTTATTGATTCTTTTGTAAAAAACAAATTAGTCATTGCCTTTATATTTAATTTCTGTTGTATTGGTATCTTACAAATAATAATCAGAGATATAAAATGAGATTTTCTTAATTCATTCGATGTTAACATGAACAAGTACGTTGATTTTTATTATAAAAAAATCAAGAGTCTATGTTCCTAATAAGCGTATTATAATTTAATCTAGCTTTTGTCGATATTAATATAATTAGACTATATTTTAATTATCTTGTGTTACAGCTTGATGCATTTAAATCAAAAAAATTGGAATATCTCTGCACGTCATTTTTTAATGACACTATGATTTTATTTCATTAATCAAATATATTTTTACAAAAGTTTAATATATCAATAAATTTGAATAATATTTATCGTCATCCACTACCCCAACCACGTCGTGTTCGTTCTAAAATAAAGAATATATTATGAAAATATTTTTATATTTTGTAAAATTTTCTCAATTAAAAAATTCATATTATCAATATCATTATCAATTGATAATGGTGGTTTATATAGATTTGTTGTCGACGTTTGCTTAAGAAATGTCTGAATTTCATTATTTTGATCAGAAACTAATGATAACAAATGAGAAAGATTGCTAATTAATTCTATATTATGATCTTCATCTTCATTATGAATAAAAGATAGAAAGTATTGAAGAACTAAATGCCAATCAATTTCATAAATAATAGTTTTAATAAGAAGTTTTTCCAAAAAATTCGAAATAGAAATTTTATTGATCATTGTTTTTCTTTAAATACGCGCTCGTATCAATTACTTACCATCAAGATCGAAAAATTTTGTTTGCAAATTATCATTAATGTTATTTTGTTGTTGAAATTTAAATATTTTTCCTATTGGATGTTTATGTTGATGATGATAAAGTGAATAGGATACTGCTGGATTTAAGAATACTAATATTAAACCAAGGAAAATAATTGTGTAATATACATTCATTTTTGTATTAATAAATGTTTACGTCAGTCTTAATATGTTCGGCGTTCTACTTCTGGATTTGTTGTTTAAATTTGCAATTAGAATAGATGTACACGCAGGTTTTTATTGTCGTTCTTACACCTACGCACACCTAGTCGAAGAAAAATAATTATTAGAAAAACGCTCTTACTAGAAGAAAAGCTTTTTAATGTTGTTTATGAAGATTATTAATACCCCTTTTAAGATGTACCTAATAGATATTTTACTTATGTAGAGAAAAGCTTTCAAAATAAAAAAACATATGTTATATATTCTTATCGAAAAGTAGATAAAAATGATCTTTTTAATTATAATCTACTGTAGTATGAATAATATTTTTGTCAATTTTAGATGATAATATTAAGTAAACATATAGACTTAAAATAACTCCTTTGAAGAACTTATCAGACGATAATGATAATAGATTTAATTCAAGATAATTGACAAATAGATTAAGCTAAGAATAGCATTCTCTTCGATTAATTTAGTTTTTTTTTGAAAGTACCCGATGCTCTACGTCAAAATATAAATACGGAAAATTATACTGAATTTATCATATAACTGTCATGAGAAAACTTTATTGTAGAGATTAATGCTTGATTTTTGTACTACGATGATTAAATTTGACAGATGTATGTCATAAAATCTGACACGGAAATACATTAGAACTCCTACTGTTGAACTCCTACATTCGGAAAAAATTAAATCTCAGTATCATAATGCATTCATGATTTGATGGATACTAATTATTCTAGATTCCTGTCGGATGTGAGATTTTACAAGATCCTGTATGATTCAAAAGATAATGTATTATTCAAAGTTCGTAGATATTTCTAATAAATAATCTTTTAAATATATGCAAGATAGTGAATGAAATTTATTTGTTGAACAAAATGTTTTGATGAAAAATGATGATTGAAATAAACTGTTCTCTAAAGATGATAATAATATTAATAATATATATATATATATGACTATAATCAATGTTCAATATCAATATTATTATTCATTTGATGAAGTACATCATCCATATCTACACGTTGTAATGGTATAGATGATGTTCGAATCACATTAATTGCTAATGATGGTATTGTAGTTGTTTCAATTGTACTTGTTGATGAAGTGAATTGTTTTCTAAACCAAGATAGAAATGTATTATTGTGTACATATGATAAATTTGATGGTAATGTTAAATCACTTGTATCGTTAGTTGATAATGATATATTAGAATAAATACGTGATAAAATTTGTTGACATAGTTTATAAAGTGATTTACCACGTACAGTTTGAGAGTTGTTAGTTGTTAGTTGAACAGATGAATTAAGTGGTAACATTATTGTTTGATCTGTTGAATAAAATGTATCATTATCAGATGTAGAATTAGTAGGATTAGTTTCAAAAGTAGTAGTTATTTCTTCATTGACTTCTTGTGTAACGATAGTATTAGTATAGTTTGTTAATTCAATAAATGTTGAAGTTATCAATGTATTTGACGGTTCCGTAACATTCATATTTTCGAGATCTTCAGTTGTATTTAAAAAAACCGGTTCAGATTGTTCAATAATTGGTGTTGTCATATTTTCTATTGCCATACTACTCATATCTGTTTCAGAATATGATAAGAAATTCGTTGAATTATCATATTGTTCTGTAAATTCAGTTGTATTCATATCAAATGACGATATTGTAGTAATATCTGAAAAGATTTCTTCAAGTTGAATATCTTGTGCATAAATAATATGTTCAGTTGTTCCAATTTCAGACGTTATAAATGTTGCCTCTACTGTTGTTGTTGTTGTTGTCGTCGTTGTTATTGTTGATGTTTTCGGCTTTGAAATAACGGGAGCTGGCTTAGTAGTAGTTAATAAATCAATAAAATCAATTTGATCAGTATCTTTACTATTTAATGATTTGTGTTTTATTCTCTCATGATAAGCTTCTTGTAACATATTAAATAGAATTCGTGTATGTACAGGTGAAAGTGCTACAAAAGAATAAGATGATGTAAAATTTATAAATAATCGATTGACTTACATGACCATATATTATGATTATTTTTTAATACATGTTGTTCACATGTTGAACCCATATAACCAAAATAACATCGACATTCGAATGATGTTAAACTTGTTTCAACACATAATCCACGATTACCACATGGATTTTCTTGACAAACACCTAATGAATAAATAAGTTATCAAATGAAAAAGAAACATATAATTAATACCAAGTCGTTTTTCACATAAAGCTCCGTTATAATTGATCGGACATATACAAATATAAGTATAAGCTGATCCAAAACATGAACCACCATTCATACATGGCATTGACCAGCAAAGATTACCTTTACAATAAATATAGATATAGATAGGAAAAATTTAAATAACTTTTGACATTATTTTCACCTGTAATCCAGTTAGCATTAGTAAAACATATGATGTTTAAGACTACGATTAGTAGCCAACAGAGTGATACTACATTCATAATGTCACTTTTAATGCAATTGAACTGATCATTGCTATCGATGACAACAAGTATTTATTACTATCATCGAATATTGTTCAATAAAAGACAAAAAAAAAGAAATAATATATGCTCAGATCAAATGACATGTATTTTATTGAACGAGTATTTCTGTTTACAATAATTGTATGAACAATATATGCGCATACCTACATATGTCGAGACAAGAACGAAGTATATACGACGGCCAACTTGGATTAGCTTATTTACAGATCGTGTAATGAGGGAGAAAAAAAGCAATATATGATCCTTTTTCTATCAGTCTACTCCAATAATGAGAGTGAGAAAGGGATTGAATAGGTGTCAAACAAAACCAAGATAATGAAAAGAAAAGAAAATATGGAATCAATACTATTGTTTGTTTTTTTTCTTCTTCTTCTTCTTCACAGAATTCAGTTTGTATTTGATCAATTACATAATCTAATGTTGATAAAATACACCTACAATATAACTAATGATGACACAATAATTCAAAGCTTAGATAAACTATCAATAGTGAACAACGAACGACAAGGAATATAAATCAATATTGTATGTTCGATCGCTTATCAATTGACTTTATTATCGAAACAATTTAATGAATGACTTTCGAAATATTTTTTTCAAGATACTTCCATAATATTAAAGAGATAATGATTCTTCCGATTATATATATATATGTGCCTATATATTTCAAATTGGATTATGATAAAAATCTGAGAACCGTTTGTATTTGTTTTACATAAGAGAAAAAAATCATAGGACTAGAGAGTTCATCAATCCATACATGCTCAAGAAAGTTATACATCAACGTGGAATAAGAAAAAAAAATGAACAGTATATCGCAGTAGCAAACGTTAATATCTGACTCCGTGTGTGTAGAAAAAAAAAGAATAGAATATATCGAATATAAATTTCATGTGTTGTCAAGTTTGATCATTAATTAAACTAAAGTGTTAATGTTAATTCATCATTTTCATTTATATCACTAATTCCATCTGTTCTTGCTATATCCTGTTTACTATCTTCATCAAATTGATGTAAATTACGACGCCATGTACGTAATTGTCCATCGAAACAACGTCGTGAACATTTACGATATTTATTTGGTGTTGCTGGACATTCTCGCCGACGTTGTTTTCTATTAGAAAGAAAATAATTTTATATAGAAAAAAAAATCTAAACAAAATAGCTTACTTAATTGGATATTTTGCAATATAAGTAGCGTATGAATCAGACATTTTTCCTTTTAAAATTTCTTTCGTTCGTTGACGTAATGTATGTGGATCACTTTCAACTTCTTGTAAAATATCATCTTCAGTCATTTCTGTATATTTAGGAAATGTTTTCAAATGACGAATATAACTATAACAAACGTAATAAGATTTATATATATGCATATATCAAAAGATTATTATAATTACTTAAATAAATATTCAAGTTCAATTTCTTCAATTTCAGAAATCATCTTAGGATCGTCACTAAAATAACGTTCTGAAGCACGGGCAATATGAGTTAATGCACGTTTTCGACTACAATAAAAATCATACTTTTCTAAAGAAAAACAAATCAAAATTTTAGTTTATTTACCTTGCATCTGCAGTAACCATATCTGATTTAGCACGAACAAGTGAACGACCACTACCTGCCTTTTGTTTTTGATTCATAACACTTACACTTTTACGTAATGTAATACGATCATTATTACTATTCGTTTTATTAACATGTGCTGTCATTGAATCGTTTTCACATAAAGCTGTTTTAAGAGCTGTATCTGCACGAACACTTAATTCAAATAGTGCATCAATAGATGTTCGACCTGTTGTTGATTCATTTCTATAGTTTAATAGAAATAGAAGATTTGTATTTACATATATCAAACTTTATATTTACTCTACTGATGGTGTCCAATTAATTATTGTCGATGGAATAGTTGTATTCATACGAACTGTTGTTGATTGTTCAATAGATTTATCTTCATTTTCACCACTTTCCAAAATAGGCATTAATTTAATCTGTGATTGACCAGTCGATGAAATATCATCAAGATTTTGATTATTACTTGATTTTTTTACCAAAGATATATTTGCTAATGTTGTATTTATTTTATTTAAATCTCGTGAATCAGTCATATTTATAATACGTGAATTACTTTTAAAGAAAAATATAGATAATTTTTGATTATAGAAAATTTTCTTACCATGCATTATTATTTATGGTATCAATTGAACTACGAAAAACTTCTGCTGACATTGATCGTGAAGCTAATGTACGACGTAATCGATTACTATTAATATTATTATTATTGATACTATCATTTCTTGATGGTGATCTATAGAAAATAAAGAAGAATAGGTTTTTTATTAAAATATTATTTTATCATCAAAAAATAACAAACCGAGCGCGATTAAAACCAGAGAACGTAGCTTGAGCATATTGTTGTTGTGAAACATTATCAATATGTACTTCCTAAAACAAGAAAAAAATGATAGAAGTTTTTTATAGAAAAACTTTAAACATACTCGAGCAGCTTTTGGAACCCATAAATCTAATGAAAAAAGTATCTTTTGGATCTGAGCATCAAGTGCATAATCTGAGCAAAGGCTCATTAAATCTTTGATACTATACGTAACCATTATTATACTTTGTAATAGAATATAAATCGATGAAAAAATGTGAAAAAAAGTAAGTTGAACAAAGAACTCGACTTGAAAAACCTCTCTTTTCTCGTATTCGTTTATTTTATTCTCAAATAGTACACAGAGAAAAAGTAACAAAAGCGATATCTATTGATGATTTAAAATATATGTTATGATTGGTGAATGAACATTGACAATCATAATAATTGAATATATGGATGGATGGATGGAACGAACGAACATGTAATGAACATAAACAAACTTTACTATCGATTGAGAAGAGAATGATTGATATATTACCATCATCACGTGTTTCACGTGCATTTGGCTCAGAAGTTTCTTACTCAGATGCATTATCGAATGTACATAAATTTAATTCACGTCTATTACGTGAAAGACGTATTCGTTTGCGTTTACCATTTGTTGATTCACAAACACATATTATTCAAACACCAACACAACATCATTTATGGAAACAACCAATTCAACGTCTTATGCCTTTTCGTCATGATCAAGTTTCATGTTATGAACGTAAACAATGGCATAAAAGAAGACCACATCCACCATCAACAGTAAATCAATTGCAATCAACTAATTCAACAACAAATATATCAAATACTGATGAACAACAATTAGATTCTTTATCAACAAAACCTAGTAATATCAATGGATCCTTACAAGTATCAACAGATGATGATCCTCGTGTTGCTGTACGAGCTGGTGATCTTGGTATGTAAAAGCTTCAAGGATCATTATTTTGAAATAAAATTGTTTTTTTTATAGGCATGTCAGGTTCCGATGTTCATATGATTTCTACAATTGAAAATCCAGCTGGAACAGGTGGTCGATTTGCTGGTGGTTCAAGTGATGATTCATCTCAATCTTCTGCAACACCAATGACTGGTCTTGTTCAACCTCAACAACCACATTGGCCACAACATAATACAACATCTCACAATCATCATCTTCAAAGTTATATTCTTGAAGGTGATGAAGATCTAGATGATATTGATTATGATGATTATGGTGGTAATGGACCTGGTACACCTGGTGGTCCATCGTCTCCTGTATCTACTACTACAACACGTTCAAAACGTGGTAGTTCTACGAAACGATTATCACATTCTAGTACAAGAAAGAGTAATACTGGAGGAAACTCTGCTGGTAGTGGTAGTGGAGCGACTGGAAGTGCACCTATTCATCCTGGTCATCGTCGTCAACAATATACACTTGCTGAATTACCATATGTGTGTGAATTTTGTCCTGCACGATATAAAACGAAGCCTGGCTTACAATATCATTTAGCTAAACATAAAGAAGCAAATACAGATCATCGACCATCATCTTCAACACCAACAACTGCTGATAATAGTGGATCATTATCACCCACATCAGTTAATACATCATCAATGATGAAACAAAAATATATGAATCCACCTATTGATCATCCACAACAACAACAACAACAACAACATCCTATGTATTCGAATCAACCTATGCCAGGCGGTCCAATGCTTCATAATAATACGATTGGACATGTACCTCATGGTGGTGCTCCTCCAGGAATGCCGACACCACCTTATCCAATGGGTCATCATCATCAGCCACCACAACAACAACAACAACCACCACCATCATATGGTATGCCACCTCAACCTCATCATCATGCAATGCCTCCATCAGCTTCCATGCCACTCACTGTTGCTGCTTTATCTGGTTCGGCACCTCCTACTAATGTTCCCTATTATTCTCAACAACAACAACAGCAGATGGCACATCAACATCATATGATGATGATGCAACAACAACAACAACAACAACATCAACAGCAGCAGCACCACCACCAACAACAACAACAGCAACAACAACAACAACAACATCAACAGCAGTTTCAACAACCACCAAAACAACCTACTCCATCAGCTGACCCTTTACCTACTGTTATGACAGGTATTCAATGTGATTTCTGTGGAGGTGATGAACAAGAAAATAAAACAACGAAATTACCAGAACAAATGATTACTTGCAAAGTAATTTTATTTTCATATGTCATTAACTATTATTTTTAATTTTAATTTATATTCTCTATCTAGGATTGTGGTGGTTCTGCGCATCCAACTTGTCTTAAATTTACTCCTAATATGGTTCGTCAAGTTAAAACATATCCATGGCAATGTATGGAATGTAAAACATGTACTGAATGTGGTAATTCTGAAAATGATTCAGAACTTTTATTTTGTGATGATTGTGATCGGTATGTTTTCTTTTCTTTTAGTCATTGATTATTTATTTTTATATTTTTGCTTTCTATTTTAGTGGTTATCACATGTATTGCTGTACACCACCTCTATCAGCAGCACCTGATGGCGATTGGCGATGTAAATTATGCTCTGCTCAATTCGGCGAACTTCGATCTTGATCTATCAATTATTTCTCGTCTGTTTTATCTCTATGTATGCGTGTACATGTTCAATCTAATGAACATTGTATGTCAGTTTATGTCTTTATTATTTGTATTAAAATCTCCTTATCTTTCTTTTTGTAACAGAATATAATCATTCTTTGTTTTTTTTTCTCTTAAACGTACAGTTATTTGTATAATGAAAGCTAACAAAAAAGCATAGTTGTACGTTAACGTCGTCATCTTATTTGATCGACGATTTTAAATAAATCTATTAATCAGATAAATCTAACACATTTTTTTTTTAATAAACAGTTATCTATTTAAATAACCAAACAAAATATCTCTTATATAAGATACTAGTGTTTAGAAAAGTACATTTTGTTTTTCACGATAAAAATTATAATCGTAATCAATCGAGTTTTTAATAAAAGTTCTAATGAAAATAAAATAAAAAGTAGAAAATTATGTGACCAATTACAAAAGGAAATCGAAACGACATACTTTGTCAATGTTTTTATTGGATCATTTTTATAAACCAACCATATGAATGCTATGTTTGATAATAGACTATACTGAGTCATAAATAACCTGATGTTAGAATTTATCTATCTGAATGTGAACTTTTCACATCATGTTTTTCAAATAATCTATCATTAACAAACACGAAATAACAGATTCATATAATATAATAAAAAAACTAATAATATTTCTTATTTAAATCAAGGCATATGAATAATAAGCTAAAATAATTCAATTTTACATATATTTTTAGTTTCAGATGCTGGCTGTTCGTCTATTTGGGCGAATGCCGGTAGCGGCTACGCCTATCAAACGAACTTCTTATCTTCGTCTATTTGCCGGTATAACAAGTGGTGCTAGCGCATTAACAATTGCATGGAAACATCATCGTGTACATGCTGCATCACCACCTAAATTTGATCCTATTAAATTACAATCAATGGTACGTGAAGTAGATGGAAAAAAAGTATCATCATCTTCATCAGAAAAGTTCGATTGGGAACTTTTTTGGCATTATTTACGACCACAAATTTGGATCATAGCTTGTGCAACAGCGGTATAGTTAGTTCTAATTTTTCATTTCTTAACTAAAAACATTTATTTTTGTTTTAGACAGCTCTAGTTGTGGCTTATTTAAATGTAGCTATTCCATTAGAATTAGGAAATCTTATTAATGCTGTATCTAGTATACTTACAAATTCATCTTCATCTATAGATATTAAACAAATCTTATCTAAACCAACGTATAAACTTATTGAATTATATATTTATCAATCAATAGCTACATTTGAATATATAACTCTTTTATCAATTGCTGGCGAACGTATGGCTGCTGCTATTCGTCGAGATCTTTTTCATAACGTTCTAAAATTAGATATGGAATTTTTTGATAGAACAAAAACAGGTGAAATTATGGATAGGTTAGTTAAAATTTTCTTTTCCTTTTATATCATATATGATTTTCAAAAAAAACTTTAGATTAACATCAGATGTTCAAGAGTTTAAATCAAGTTTTAAATTACTTATTTCACAAGGCATGCGTGCATCAACTCAAGTACTATAAGAATACTATACATTTATTTGTATTTGATTTTTTAAATTAGATTATTGGTTCAGCTATATCATTGTATTATATATCACCAACATTAGCAAGTTTTGCTGGTCTTGTTATTCCAACAATAATTGCAGGTGGTACATTATTTGGTTCTTTATTACGTCAACTTTCACGACAAGCTCAGACACAATTATCAATATCGACTGGTATTGCATATGAAGCTATATCAAATATTCGAACAACACGAGCATTTGGTGCTGAAACAAAAGAACATGAGTAAATCAAAAATTTCTTATTGTAGAATTTTATTCTTATGTATATATATTGTAGGATGTTTCAAAATGAAGTAAATAAAGCTCGTGATCTTAATATACGATTAGGTGTTGGTATTGGTATATTTCAAGGTCTAAATAATTTAGTTATGAATGGAATTGTATTAAGTACAATTGCACTTGGTGGACAATTTGTTTCGGAAAATCGTTTATCAGCTGGTGATTTAATGGCATTTCTTGTTGCTACACAAACTATTCAACGATCTTTAACACAAATATCTGTTTTAATTGGACAAGCAATACGAGGAATGTCAGCTGGAGCACGAATACATGAATATCAAAAATTAACAAGTTCTATTCCATTGCAACAAGGTATTTATATACCGTATCATTCAATGTCTGGACAAGTTCATTTTTCTAATGTTTCATTTGCTTATCCAACACGAAATCAACAGGTTAAATAAATCATTTAATGGAAATTAAATATATATTTTGTATTTTTTCCTATAGATAGTTCTTGAAAATTTTAATTTCACAATTCCAAGTGGTAAAACTGTTGCCATCGTTGGTCCATCTGGATCAGGTTAATAAAATAAAGAAATATAAAAGAATTTTCGTTCATATATAGAATTATTTAGTATAGGTAAATCAACATTATGTTCATTACTTGTACGTTTCTATGATCCATTGAGTGGTCAAATAACAATTGATGGAAAAGATATTCGTACATTGAATGCTACTTGGCTTCGATCGAATGCTATTGGAATGATTAATCAAGTAAATAATACAAATTCTTTGCGATCGTTAAATTATTATTTTTAGGAACCTACATTATTTTCAACAACAATTATGGAAAATATTCGTTTTGGAAAACCAAATGCAACAGATAGAGAAGTTATGGAAGCAGCTAAATTAGCAATGGCACATGATTTTATTCAATTATTTCCTGATGGATATCAAACAGTTGTTGGTGAACGCGGTGTTACTGTTTCTGGTTAGTTTTGAAATTTATTTTTTTATGATCTTAATGTTTGGTTTATTAATTTTAGGTGGTCAACGACAAAGAATTGCTATGTAAAGATAATTCTCTTCAATTATTTGACTATTAAATATAATTCTTTTTTTTTTTCTTCGATATTTAAAGTGCTCGTGCTTTACTTAAAAATCCATCTATATTAATTCTTGACGAAGGTAAAATGAAAATAAAATATCAAATTTTATATCTAACTTTTCTTTTCATTTTAGCTACAAGGTAATTTAGAAAAACATATTTCCTCGAAATAATGTTTTGTAATTTAAGCGCACTTGATGCTGAATCTGAAAAACAAGTTCAATCAGCGATCAATAATGTAGCAAAGGATCGTACAACATTAATAATTGCACATCGATTGAGTACAATACGTAATGCAGATATTATCGGTGTTATGTTACATGGAAAACTTGTTGAAGTGAGAGATTTGAATACTGTAGAAAATTTTATTTATTTCTATATTTTAGGTGGGTACACATGCTGAATTAATTGCTAAGAAAAATGGTGTTTATGCTGAATTAATGCGTATTCAGCAATCCGGTATCAATATACTTTGAGACAGTTTTTTTGATAACAGTCGTTTTTTTAAAATAAAATAAAGATAAGAAAATAATTAAATATTTTTTTTCTGTTTTTTCTTTGTTACTGCTCAGTCCTTATCTTGAAGAAAAGCTTGTAATAGACAAAGAGAATAAAAGTGATAACCCTGGTTTATATTTTTTCTTTATTTTTTTTTCGCCAAAGATTGTTGTTAAAAGTGTCAAATGAAATCGGA